TGTTTTATCTCCGTTATGGCCCCGTGAAGGTTCTCTGTACATTTTCTAGGTCAGTAATTTCACCTGCCTTGAAAGGTGCTGTTAGTGTGCAGCAATATTCCAGCCTAGATAGAACAAGTGACCTGAAGAGTGTCATCATGGGCTTGGCATCCCTAGTTTTGAAGGTTCTCATTATCCATCCTGTCATTTTTCTAGTAGATGCGATTGAGAAGACGTTGTGCTGAGCGGTTGTCAGCTGCTTCTCCTCAGTCCTGACACCTGGTGGAGGAGTTTTTTACAACATCAACAACAATGGCGACTGCATTTCGCCGGCGTGTTAATACTGTTTGTATTCAACTAACACAGGGCTCTATCACCAGCGAATCAATGAATGTGTTAATGCCAGCAATCATTTGTGATACACATGGCATTCAGCGTGAATCCTTGTGTGGCGTCGCCTTGAATGGAACTTCACGGATCTTCGTCAAGTTTTGTGACACTCAGATTTACGAGAAGATTGTGACTCAGTACCAGGATATAAGTAAGCAAGTCACCCCAGCAGTTTCTGTCCAGTTGCATGACGTTTCACGGTACTATACGTGGGTACGTGTGCGAAACGTGCCTTTTGAGGCCAATGAAGTTGATATACGTGATGTTTTTGAACGTTATGGGAAGATCCACCTGGTCACCATGGGTAGGTGGTCTGACGGCCACTATGCTGGTCTTCAGGAGACGTCATTTACATTGAAAATGTCCCTGCGTCAGCCGATTCCTTCGTACGTACACCTGGAGGATTTTCGTACCCAGGTGTACGTTACGTATCCTGGACAGAGAAGAACTTGCCGCCTCTGCGGCGCTTTGGATCACATAGCGGTTCAATGTGTTCAGCGCTAGCCGCCCTCAGGGCGTGGTCGTCGTCCTGACGGCGAGGTACCCCGTCAGGCTCCGGAAGAAGAGGTTGTCGAGGACTCGCCGCATCTGACATCATGGAGTGCTGAGGTTGATCGGGCCATGCTACTAGAGTCATCTTGTGTGACTACCTGGGACTGCCTCCCTTGACGAGGTGGAACATGTGAGCAGTGAAATCCCTCTAGCAAGAGAGGCAGGTGATATGGATGCCAACATTGTATCTGTGTTGAGTGACCTATTAGCATCGCATGAGTTTGATTCTGTGCCGTGTGTGCCTTTGAAGTGTTCTGATGAGGTGAGATTACGTGTAGATGATGCTGATCAGATAGCTGAAGTGCGAGATTTGGAGAGTTCGGAGAGTTCGAGGGTTCATACTGTTTTTTTTTTTTTTTTTTTTTAAAAAACTCAGGTACAAAATATATGGGTACTTAATCAATATGTAACAATATACAAGCAGTAAAACGATAATCTTCAGTGACTACACAAATACCAAAGAAGCACTTATATAATGACATCAGACTGGCTGTTGCACTCCAATCAAACACTACTTTTATGTACTGTACTTCACATGAAAAGATGATCTTATAATAAAAAACGATAGTCCTACCTAGTAATGCTTACACTCCCCCCCCCCTTGAAAAACTACCACTTTCTCATTGACATCTCTTATACATTTATAAGAGCTTTAAGGACTTCATTAACAACATGTATAAAACACAATCCTGCCATCTAAAAGGCTGACTATAATACAAGGAATATCTGAACATGATGGCACACATCCACTAATGAAACCAATCCACACCCTAACCCTCATATACCTCATGATAACAATCAATATCATTCGCTGCCTGACCACGGTGGAGTGCGGTTGTGCTCGGCACCCCTCTGCTGTTTTCAGGTGAGCTACCTCAGTTCATCAACAACCATTGAGTAGTGAGGACGTGCGCTGCTCATTTTGGGATATCAAAATGGCGGAACATACAG